AAAGTATCAAGTCTGAATTTTGTGTAAGATGAGCCACATTTGAAAATCAGACTGGAGTAAAAACCGACACATGCAGTAGAGACCAGCTATTCACACATACAGCATGAAGAGATAGAATTATTTTTTTCTGGCTGTTTGTAATGAAATTAGACTAACGCTTTTCTGTTTTAGTTCTGCTTGGATTAACAAAGTTATTTCTATTTCCTAAATACCAGTTTCATTTTTTTCGTATTACGTTCTTTAACATTTAGGATCATACACACCTTTAAACAAACTAGAGTAAGTCCAGATGACGGTGCCATGATGTTGTTAGCTTCTCATAGATTAATCTGCAACATTGGACTTGAGTGAAGGTAGGCACACCTGTGGATGGAGGAGCAGCACAAACACACCGCTTCCTTGTGTGGCGTCATGGATAAAATGTAAGAAATCAGCCAAGATCCCAGCAAGAGAACTCTGGACCGCATCGAGTCTGGTTCATTTCATTGGAAAGATTATTATGTGAAAATACAGAATCAATATTTCAAGACATCAGACAGGAAGTGGAAGTGGGTCTTCTAAATGGACAATGAGCCAAAGTGTGTGACCTGAATAAATTACAAGAAAGTTGATGTTTTGACAGGAAAGTCTGTGTTTTGGAGTGGTCATCACAAAGTCTTGTTCTCAGACTCCTAGAAAATGTGTGAGTAGAGCTGGGGCTTGCTATCTCAAAGGCTCATACTGAATATAAGGACATTTTTTTCAACATTCCTACATTTGAAGAAAGGAAAACAAATGAGGCCACTCTATTTTTCCCATTTTTCAGCAAATAGAAATCACTTTGGTAATCCTAATTAACCTGAATTAGAACTTTACAGTTATGTTTGTTGCAATGTGTGTAAATATCTTAATTCACCAATGACACCCTCTAAAATCTCCTGGTCTTGTCCATTAGGTTCATGCTTACATCATCAGCTACCTGAAGAAGGAGATGCCTTCTCTTTTTGGGCGGGAAAAGAAGAAAGAAGAGCTGATCATGAGGCTACCAGAGATCTACGTCACCCTGCAGAGGGAGCATCACATCAGCCCTGGAGACTTCCCCAATGTCACCAAGATGCAGGTAGAAGCAGAATTCCTCCTCCATTTAAAACAAGCCGATATGCAAATGACTGGTGGTTGATTCAAACTGCTCATCAGACAGCAGGGCCTATTTTCTACGATACAGGCTTAAGCCTGTATCGTAGAAAATAGGCCCATCTGGTTAGTAAGGAAATGAAAACAAACTAGATCCTGACATTTCACTTCTGCTAAGTCAGTTTGTCTCACTGTTGATGAAAACTGTTGAGATGTCGTTACTCCATAATGAGAAGAAAAATGGAGAAGCTTGAAGCTTCATTTTGAAGTATAACTGTGTGTCCTAAGTGCTAAAGAGGCTTTTGACACTTAGGACAGAATGAACTCTGCTGCAGCTGGTCTCTGATTCCTGTCGGGAGACACTGATAGTGGGTGTGTGATTTCCCAAGTTGCACTTAAATAGTTGGCTGTTGGTGGATGTTTGAGAGTTTTCTGTCCCCAGAGACAACAACAGACACAACTATGGTCTGAAGTTTTTTGAAATCCTCTTCCTCTTTATAAATCTTCCTTCTTGCACCCTGTGGTGGTGTAGTGGTTTAGCACAACCCACGTGTGGGGGCCTTAGTCCTTGTCACGGCCGTCGCTGGTGCAATTCCCAACCCAGCAACATTTGCCGCATGTCTTCACCCTTTCCTGTCAGCCTACTTTCAAAAAAATACAGGCCGTTAGAGCCAACAAAACTGATAAAAAAGATTGTGATCCTGAACATACAACACTGACACACAGGCTTTGGTGTTGCACCGCGGTCAGAAGGGATGCTGTGTCCAGCTGCAAACAGCTGGCAGTGTGATGTTCAGCTCTGTTACTGAAACAAAACTCCTTAATGTTGTAAATCCACACAGATCTGAGGTTAAAAACCCTGCAGCCAAACACTTTTCTTGTTTTCCTTAAATTTTACGTTACAGATTACAGATAACTTCTAATACTCACACAGTCAAACTGCTAATCACAATTTTCACTGCTTTCAAACTTGCCCAACACTAAAACATATATTTGACACTGTCAAGTGGTTAGACATTTATTTTCATGCTCTTATTTTGAAATGAGTGAAGACTGTTTACATAGCAGTTATGTTTCCTCTCTTTGTGTTCTCTCTTTCTTTCTTATTAACTTAGGAACATGCACAGTACAGAAAAGGATAGGAACATAAATACAATATATGGATTACAGAACTTGTAAATAATAAGGTCAAAATTAAATTGATACTCAAAGGTTGTAGTCTTTCAAGAACAGATATAATTTGAAGTGAAGTTAGCGCTTTATCATTAGTTTTTGTTAAATATCATGTTGATGGTAACAGTTAGCGCAACTAATTTTTTAGTTAGCAGTCCTGCTGGGCTCAATACGTCATTCAAGCCATAGAATATTAAAGGCAGATGTAAACATGTCTTGCATACAACGACAGATTAGTTCTGTTGACCTTGTGCCTCTTCCTGTTCTCCTCCAGGACATGCTGCAGCACTACGATTTCAGTAAATTTCCGTCTCTGAAAATGAAACTGATTGAATCAGTGGATAAGATGCTGGCGACCAAGATTGCAGTTCTGATGGCAATGATCCGAGAGGAGGAGTCCAAGCTGCCTCCAGCCATGGTGTCCGGTGGGGCGTTTGAGGGCTCCGAGGACGGGCCTTTCGGTCGGGGATACGGTGAGGGTATCAGTGCCGGCGCGGATGCGGACGACTGGATCGTCAGTCGTGACAAACACCGCTACGATGAGATTTTCTACACACTGATGCCCGTCAATGGTAGGATCACAGGCGTCAACGCCAAGAAGGAGATGATGAATTCCCGGCTACCCAACACTGTCCTAGGAAAGATTTGGAAACTGGCTGACTGCGATCAGGATGGCATGCTTGACGATGAGGAGTTTGCCCTCGCTCAGCATCTCATTCAGATCAAGTTGGAGGGCTATGAACTGCCCAGCGAGCTGCCCAATCACCTTGTCCCTCCGTCCCATCGTAAGAACCCCACTGCAGATGCACTGTACAACCACACGGAGGACTAGAGAGCTCACAACGTGCCAAACAAGCCACCAAAGAGAGAGACTGTGATGGAAGAAGATCCTGATGTGGAGAAACCACAACAGATCAACATCAGACAATCAAATAACTTTTAATGTTAGAGTTTGAACATTTCAACTGAAAGACTCCTGAGAGGAAAAGTCTGGTTTCAGCTTTGTTGTAAAAACCAAAATATTTCTCCTTAACTTCTCTAACCTACTTCTTGTCTTAACTGTTTTGGATTTCTGTCTCCTGTTTGTGATGTATTACAACTTCAGTTTATTTCCACTTTATCACCTGTTAATGTTGATGTTGATGTGAAAAACTGGGATTTGTTTTCATTGCTGTTATTTTTTTCTGACAAATTAAAGAACAATTATAATATTGTAAGGAGTAGCACAAAACATGTTTTCATTTAAACATATACCACTTGGTGTTTACTCTTAGTGCTTTATTAATATTTTTTTAGCATATTACTTTTTGTTTCTGAATTGCTTTTTAGAAATATACCAAAGATGAAGTGGACTGATACTAAAATAGTTTTTATTTTTTACATTTTCCACTAAAATACAAATTACAAAAGAAACTTTCTCGCAGAAAACCCCAAATCAGTGCCTGGATGGACCAGAGTTTTGTATATTTCAGTTTTTTATATATTTAAATATGTCATGGGACTGTTTTTTTGTCAAGCTTTTATTTATGAAGAATTTCTGTCATTTCTACTGAGACAGCAGTCACAGCAGAGCTATGACTCTTAGACTCTATTAGTCTGTAAAAAAAAAACAAAAAAAAGAAACTTGGAATTATTGCTGTTCTCAAATATAATAACATCGAACAATTATTTTTTCAAATATCTGTAGAAAGTGACTGGGGTCATTTTTGTTCTACCACATTAGTTGGAATGCCATTTTTTGTTCCCAATTTCCATTTGATTTCTCTGAATCAGCAGAAATCCTCTGACAGAATCCCATCTCTTAGCGTTTGAACCGTCACTTCCCAGTGCAACCAGTAGGAACACCGTCAGCCACAGACCACAGGGTCCATGTGGAAGTCCAGCTTAGGTTCCATCCTTTTGCCTTCACCACATGTGAAACAAGTGACAATAATAATAGAACAGAATCTTTACTGACATGAAACTATATGAGGCTGTAAGATCATCTACAGTTAACTCAAAGTGTTTTAATAGTAGTAGGACAAAAAGTTCAGAAGATGAAGAGAATGAAGCCAGAAGTCTGGATCTGCATCATGGATTTATCTGATTGACTAATGAATCAAAATAAGCTGTTCCACATCGCCATGGTTATAACACCACCAACCAACCCGTGTGTTCTGTCAGAGTGATGGTCACGGTTGGTATTTGTTCAGTCATGTGACAGTGATGGGGATGCAGCAAAGGATTGTGGGGAGTTAAACTGATGAAGTCAGCAGTATGGTTGTTGTGTTTTGAAAGGTTGTTGAAAAGGCTGTGAAATATATACTTATATAACTGATACCAATACATTGATAAGTATCAGTTATTAGCCGTAACATCAATATTAATATTGGATATCAGGATGAATTATCAATCCTCTAGGCACTAAAGCCACAGCAGCCAAGCTTCACACCAGATTCCCTTACTGACTCTACGGTAAGAGGAAAGGCTCAAACCCAGTCTGCATCTGCCAATGTGATGCTGAAAGTCTAATTCAGGGAATTAGTTTGTCAGTTTATGTTTCCCCAGCAGCAAACAGCAGGAAGAAAATCCACCAACTATTTTTTTAACAACTGTAAAAATTATGTATGAATAGTTTTTGGACGTGTAATAGCCTTTTTTCTTTGTTTGTTTGTTTAGTTTCGTTTTTTTTTTTTTTTTTTATTTAATTTGCTTTGGCTTATAAAGATATACTTGGTGTTCTTGGGGTTCCCAGCAGCCACTTAACTCGCCTCTGCCTTGGGCCGCCTCTGCCAGAAGGAAACCCATCGTTTCAGATCGTCAGCTACAGAGTGGAGCTGAGTGTTTCCTACTGCACTTGAAGGCAGCAGACAGAGCGAGCCTGGCGGACGCCGACTGGCTTTTACAAGCTCACCAGCAGACACACCGTTTACACCAAACCTCATCCTGAAAAATAGACAGTGAGTTGGAAACGGGATGAACACGGAGAAAACTAATGTGGAGATGAAGGATGCTCAGAGCGTCAGCGCGGAGCAGAAGGACGGCCCGGATGCGGCTCTGGATGCGGCCCCTAATGCGGCTCTGGATGCGGCCCCTGATGCGGCCCGGGCCGCTCTGGATGCGGCCCCTGATGCGGTTCTGGATGCGGCCCCGGTTGCGGCCCGGGCCGCTGTGGATGCTGACGCTACCGAGGCTGATGTGAGCGAGGCCGACCTGGACCAGGAGGACCAGGAGAGGCAGCCGATGACCGCCGATGGACACGGGCCCCCGGAGGCCCCTCCTGAGGACAGGGAGGAGGTGGACGCGGAGAAGAACGGCTCCGTGAAACTGAAGATCCTGGACGAGGCGCAGGAGGAGGAGGAGACGTTCACCGGCCTGAACAAGGAGGAGCTGCTGCGGGTGGCGGGGACTCCTGGGTGAGGAGGACGCGCCGCTCACACAGAGCTTAATGATGGTTGGATGCTGGACAACCTGTGGGCTATAAAATGTATTTATTTTTTTAATGTGAAATATCACGTCAACTAGAGAGCTATTATTCAGAAAACATGCTGCAGTATTGACCTGCTGTACAGCAGGGGTCCTCAAAGTGGGTCCTCGAGGGCCAACATCCTGCATGTTTGGTTCTCTCCCTGGTCGTGACGAGCTTTTCTGAATGTCGACGTTAATGATCCATCATTGGATCCAGGTGCGTTAAATCAGGGAGAGAACTAAACCATGCAGGATGCCGGCGGCCCTCGAGGACCCACTTTGGGTCCCCTGCAGGACAGGGACACACTGTGTTTGTGTTGCAGCTTCACTTCTTTATTCTGATCATTTTTAAAGATTCAGTCCAGCTAATAACAAATATCACATGACCTCAAGAACAATAAACAGTGTCATTTTTGATTATTTATAATTCCATTGATTAAATACAGGAAACCTACTATAATTATTAAAAAGCTACTGTTTTGTTCCCATTTTATGTTTCAGGATAAAGAGAAACATTTTGAAAACAAGATGAGAACATTTTTGTATCTGGTATGTTGTTATTTTCACCCAGGTGAACAAGAAAAACAGATCTAAATAAAAACGATTGATACTTTTAGTGTCATTCTACTGTAAACATGAAATGAAATTGTTCCATGAAAAAACCTGCATTTGTCATATCTAGTTGTTTTGTTTTTTTAAATCATTTTTAGTCACATTTTTTAAGAGTCAGTTAGGAAGGCCCAGGCCCACAGAGCCTCATGCTGCAGACCTCTGTGCTATCGGGGAACATTAATGCGTTCATAGAACTGGGTTAGCTTAGCAGCAAAACAGTTTTGTTCAAAACGATCAGCTGTCTTCACCAGAGTGTAATAATCACATCATCAGCTGAAGATGATAAATTCATTAGTACAAGACGTGAACAGAGTTGCTGAAATACTTCAAACATCATTTGTCTGAAGTGACGTTTAATAAGGTGATGATGCACCAGAGTGGTGTTACTGGAGCATCGTGTCACAAACACCAGGATCCAGCATATGAGCATAATGTGATATGAGCTGATAGCGTCTTAGACTCAGCAGGGATCATTTCAACTGGAAGATTTTGAAGGTTTATGGTTGTTGAAGGTCCTCTGGACACGTTTGCTTCTTTCCCCAGTTGGGTGAGAACCCGCTGGACTCTCCTGCTGGTGTTCTGGCTCGCCTGGCTGGGGATGTTGGTGGGAGCCGTCCTCATCCTGCTGCAGGCCCCTCGCTGCAGAGAGCTGCCGCCCACCAGCTGGTGGAACGAAGGCCCACTGTACCAAATCGGAAACATCCACGCCTTCACCGACACACACAACCTGAAGGGTGAGCTGCTCTCCATCCGCCCAGCCACGTCCACGCACACACACACACACACACACACATACACTCACACACACACGCCCTCACACACACACACACACACACACACACACACACACACACACTCATGTGATGTAAATCAGATGAATCATTTTGCAGGTTTTATTTTTCCCTGCTTCATGTGAGTGCCACCAAAACATTCTGCTTGGTCCGGTTTCTCAGTTTTACTGACTTGATAGTTGATTTCTAAAAGGATGAATAGTTCAAAATCCTCCCTGACTTTCCATCCTGGAAGGTGTGGAGCAGAAGATGGCCAGCTTGTCCCAGCTGAAGGTGAAAGGTTTGGTGCTTGGTCCGATTCACGTTGCTCCACCTGATGAAGCCATGAGCTTGAGGTTTGAGGAAGTTTCACCTGAAGCTGGAAACCTGGAGCAGTTTAAAGGCGTCATCCAGGCGGCTCGCCGAAAAGGTGAGAAAAATGTTTTTTCAGAGCCATACTTCCACTAATACACAATATATAAGATTATGTCATGCATCATAACATATCAGTATCGGACCGATAAGTTAAACTGGGCTGATAAGACCTGATGTTTATGTTTGTGTTGTTGATGTTTCAGGAGGGCAGCAGGTCGGTCAGGTGGTATCTGTTCTGTCATATGATAGTGATGCAGCAAAGGATTGTGGGATGTTTAACTGAAGGAGAGAAGCAGAGTAGGCAGTGGTGACTTTTACATGATGTCAGAAGTGTAGCCAAACATATAATTGATACATCTGTAAATACTGGTTAACAGCCATAAAGCAGAATTAATACTGAATATTGATATTGGGCCAAATCGGTGCATCTTAATAAAGACATTCACAAGGTCCAAATTTTTCTTTGGCTCCTCTGTTTATTATGTACATAGAGATTATATTTACTCAAAATCCCAAATGTAGACTTTAAACATTCACAAATAAATAAAGCAAAAATACTTGGTGAATCCTGAGAAAGTACAACTACATACATCTTCATATAATTCCTGCTCTCATTATTGTGGCATGTAGCCTATTAAAACTCCTCTCAGTGACACTAACTGATCTAAAACAGAAAATGTTTAGAATGATTTTATGTCAGATGTGGAGGAAGAAATTATGTGTCTTTTATACACAATATGTAAACAGCTTTTCTTTTGTTTTCTTTTTTTTCCTCTTTCGTAGGTATTTGTGTGGTTTTGGATTTGACTCCAAACTACCAGGGTTCATCTGGACCCTGGTTCTCCAGAAGCAGCGTGACAAACGTAGCAGAGAGACTGAAGGTAATGACCGACTTGTTTCAAGCTGATAAGCGACATGAGCTAAACGTACAGGAAGTCATCATGAGGTAGAAGTGAGTCAAGACAATCCACCAAAGTAATGATGCGCTGCAGCACATTATATATGATGAAATGGACTTAAACTTTTTACTGGTCCCCGTAAGAAATGACAAGTTTTAAGTTTTATTTTGCTTGAACTTTGTCATATTTAGTCAAGATGCAGCCAGAAGCTCCAGTATGTTTTAAAATCGCAATGTTTAAAACGTGAAGCTTGTGGTAGAATCACCATGTGACAGAAGTTGAGAGATATGAATAATATATCTATTTTTATTTTTTATAGGTTTCTGTATATGGGCTGCAGGATCAAAATGAAAGTTAAACTGCACATTTAAGTCACTCAGGGTGTCCTACAGATTTTGTTTTAGGTTCAGCATTAATTGTGAAGTGAAGCTCGAAGTGTTTGGTCAGATGAACAGTGAGTGACTCGTCCCTGTGGTTCCAGTCTGCCCTGGTGTTCTGGCTGAGTGAAGGAGTGGACGGAGTCCAGCTGTCTGGAGTGGAGCAGCTGGCCAGCAAGGTCCCGGCTCTCTGGGCCGACATCCGGGCCATCGTCCAGAACAGGACGGACCAGGATCTGAGAGGCGGGTCAGAAAGGTGCGGTTCATCTGTAACCTCTGACCTCTGATAGCAACAGGCTTTTCTTTTGGCTCCAAAACCCAAACACCTTCTTCACGTGATGGTTCCTGCTGCCCAGATCACATGTTAGAGAGAATTAGAATATGTCATTTTAATGCATTTTTGTTCAATTATGAAAAAGTCCAACAAGGACAGGAACAACTTTGTCTTTAAAGAATACTCTGTCCCCTTTCTGCTGCTCATTCTAACTTTGCTTTTTCAAACTGAAATATTTGATCAGGCAAAAACTTCAAACTCCTTAAAGCTTTAGAGAAGGATGGATGTTTCATTTCCTTGTTCTTGTCTTTGTCTTGATGAATCTTTTTATTGTCTAAATGTTTCTAAAAATGAGCATTTTTAAAAAATGTCTGCGTTTTGAAAATACGAGCAGCTTCCTGTGAGCTGTGGATTGATCCGTGTCTGCGTCTTTCAGACTCCTGCTCGGCGTCACAGAAAGCTCCTCCGCTGACGACGTGTCTGCTCTTCTGTCCTCCACTGGAGTGGACCTCCTCATATCTAAAGTTCTGACAGCCGGCGGCTCGGATCCCGCCCGCTACGCCCGCACCGTCCAGAGGCTGTACTCCAACCACACGCAGACCAAGCTGGCCTGGAACCTGGGGGGGCGAGACGACGGTCACCTGGCCTCAGTCGTTCCTCCAGCTCATGTCAAACTGTACCAGCTGCTGCTGCTGACGCTGCCTGGGACGCCTGTCTTCAGCTACGGAGACGAGATCGGCCTGATGGACGGGGTGAGAGCTGCTCACTGACAGCAGACCTGCTCCCAGATTTTGCTCAACAGGAAATAAATCCTGAAATTCTTTTAGTATTATTTGTATCTGATTAATTTCTGACTAGTTTTGAATTAGAAACTGTCCAACTGGTTTGTTTGTTTTTTCTAATCTTTTCATGTTTGCATTAGGAATCCAAGTTTCCCAAGATGCTTTGGGACTTTGAAGAGGAACTGAATGGAACTCTGCAGGTAATCTGTCACCAGGATCCAACACTCACATGCTTCACACTGTCTTTATAATTATGTAGTTTTACTCTTATCTCTTCAGGGTGACTTTAGCGTCTGTCTAGGAAACTGCAGGTGAAAAACTCTGGGACATACTGTACCTGTAATAAAAATATAAAAACTACACACACATCAGTGTAGTCACTCAAATCTGGGAATATGTTGCTGATGAAATTCCTGCAACAGTTTTAGACATAATTTACTGAAGGCTTATTTGTGATTAAGGAAGGTTGCGGCACAATTTTTCATCGATTATAGGGAATATCTAGTAAACACAACCAGGATCTTCACTAGCTCCCATGCCCCCCAGAGGAGGCATGGGATTTGACACTTCTCAAACAGCAGTAAAAGCAGAAAAATAGCTTTTATACTTTGAAAATATTCTACTCATTCTGGACATAGTAAATTGAATTTATTGTTGTTGTTTTTTTTGTTTAGGTTTGGGGGTTTTTTGCAGTGAAAAAATCAACAAAACCTCCTAAATTATTTGGGGGGCCTTGAGAATATTTCAGGCCGACCTAAACCCTGACGTCTCCTCTCTGTGTTTCTCCGTCTCCAGGAGGATCAGACCGACAGGCTGTCCCTCCGCAACTTCTTCCGCTCTGTGAGCGAGCTGCGGGCCAAACAGCGCTCCCTCCTTCACGGAGACTTCTTCCTCCTCTCCAACTCGTCCTCATCTCTGGCGTACCTGCGGGTCTGGGATCACAACGATCGCTACCTGGCTGCCTTCAACTGGGGGCCGGAGGAGGAGGTGGTGCTGCGGACGAGCGAAGCGGCGCTGCCTCGGCATGCAGTGGTCGCCCTCAGCACCAACAGCAGCGCCCTCCCTGAAGGCAGCAGCGTGGACCTGGCTGAGCTGCGGCTCGGCCCGGGCCAGGCAGCACTCGTCAGGCTTCCTCACGCCGGATAGAGGAAAACGTTTAGTGTTTGCATTTCCTTTATGTTAGGAGCACCAAATCAGAGCAGAGTTATTGTTGTGACACATTGCAACTTGTGTTGTCTGCAGGGATTCCCAAACTTTTCCATGCCGCGGCCCCCCAAACTGCATCAGCTTCTGGGCAGGGGCCCCCTTTGCAAAACTTGCCAAATATATACATGAACACCAACTTTTAGAATGATTTTCTCACTTATATTTCTATTCTCAATTGGCATAAATGCTGCCTCATATCTTATATAGCCATCCTACGGTTACATGAAGAGTAGAGCAGATTTTTTGATTTTTAAAAACGTTGGAAAACATTGTTAGATCATGGTTTCTCCAGAGGAGGGGACACTTTGGGGCTAAATGATTTGCTTGTAAAAAGATCTGTGAACGTTGGCTCAGCGGTACACAGAAGCTGCTCTCATTTTATGCACCTTGTTCAAAAAAATCTGCCTTACATCAGAGGTGAGTGGCCAAAACCAGGCTGGGCAGGAAACATGGAAATCCCTCCAGCTGTGTTCTGTTACTGAAATTGATGAACTAACAAATGGGAGGCGTTCTCTTCTTCTGTGGTCTCGTCTGTATCTGTAACACACTGTGCACTTATGTATTGCATTCTGTGAAAAATAACACATTAAAAACATACACCAAGCAAGCAAAGAGATTTCTGATGTCTAGTATTCATTATTAGAAAAACAGATTTTGTCCAGAAAGCAGAGCATCCTGCAAACCCAGACTTCAACATATAAAGGCATGAAAAGAAACTGCATGTACCACTTTAGCAGAAATAACAAGATGTTTTGTCATTGATTTCTCACAATTTTATGTCTAATTGTTAACTCATCATTTCTTACATTAAACTTGAGTTTTAAGTTTCATCAGATTTAAGTTGTCCAGGTTCAGTAGCTGCTAAGTAAAATCCAAATCAGTTGGGATCCCCAAAAAATATGTTGGGGCATAAATCATATATCGTCTGTCATATAAATGTTTAAAAACTAAAAAAAACACAAAAAGGGAGTCAGCATTTGTTTGTCAACTGTAAGAAATGAGCTCCTTAGATTTCAATCCAGAAAAGTCATAGAAGAAGCTGGTAGATAAACACAATCCACGTTTGATTTCTTCTATCTGCCCACAGATAGAAGATGATGAAGTTATGCTCACATAACAATGGATCTGTCCACAGGACAAAAAATACTTTGAACTTTCCTTCAGCTAAAAAATAAATAGACCTGAAAAATATTTAATTTCATGATAAGAGTTAAAAAAAAAAAAACAATGCCTAACAGCACTTCACCTCGCTGATCTGTGCTGGTGTACTGCATAGTTGGAACATTCCTTAAAAACATCAGTTTTCATTTGTGACGTCACAAAATTCAAGACAGAAAAAAACAGAAGAGCTGCAACAAAATGCAAAGCATCTCTACTGTCTTCTTTTATTGCATCCATGATTTTGTTTCTCAGCATTTGATCATTTATCGTCTTACCCCATCAAAAAAGTGTGCGATTAATGAACGTTTTACAATGTTCATCTGTTTGTGATTATATGGGATATTCCATAATGATTCTGGATTTGTGTCCTGTGGTTAGCGCAGATTGGATCCTGCAGTAATTCTATTTTTCCACAAGGTGTCAGTAAGTCACTTCTAAGGGCTGCGGGGCGGAGCTGCAGCGGCTGCTGGCGACTGTTTGATCAGTGATTATTGTAAAGGAACTGGCAAACAGTGAACCGAGGAAATAAGAAAAGGAAAGGATTTGATTCTGATGAAGAAGAAAGAGAGGAAGATAAAATAAATAAATTAAAGTGATTCTTAGATTCCAGACCCCATGTGCTTCAAAAATAAGTGAGGCAATATATAAAATAATAGGTGAGGTGAACACTGTCAAAAAGTTAAGAGATGGTAATCTATTGCTGTTGTGCAGACATAGAGATCAGGTGCAAGGACTAATGAGATGCAAAACATTATTGGGAAAAACAATCAAGCCACAAATATGGCAGAACAGAGGAAAAGTAATGGGAGTAATATCTGGAGTATCAACTGATCTGACAAAGGAAGAGAATAAAGGTCATGTAAAAGGAGCTGATTAAAGTGAAGCGCCTGTTTGTTACAAGACAAGAAGTTAAAAGTCCTAGTGAGTCAGTTTTGTTAGTCCTAGAAGAGGATGGATTATCCGACAAAGTAATGATTGGTTATGTCAGTTGTACAATAAGGCAATACATTCCTCTACCAACCAGATGCTACAAATATCAAAGGTTTGGACATATTGCTGCTGCTTGCAGAGCTAAACTCAGGTGTGCCAAGTGTGGAGGGGAGCATGAGTATGAGAAATGTTCTAAAGGAACCAAGTTAAAATGTTAAAATGGTGGGAAACATACATTTGAAATGCCAATAGTACATTTAGAAACCCAAAAAATAGAAGAGTCCTGTGGGGGTTTATATCAAATTATTCAGCAGTATTTAGAAATAATGTATGAAAATATGATACAAATCTATACAGATGCATCAAAAGAGGAAAATGGTAAAACAGGAATAGCAGTTTATATTCCAAAACAAAAAGTCATTGTAAAAAGAAGAACAACAAATAATTTATCAATTTTTTCAGCAGAAATGTTGGCAATTATTTTGGCATTGCAATGGAGGTGAAGCCAAGGAAGGCAGTTATCTCCTCAGATTCAATGTCTTGCTTAACTAGTATTAGAAATGGAAAATCTGATAGCTGTCAAGATCTTTTAGATGAAGTTAGTTATTTGATATATGGTATAAAGCAACAAAAAACAAGTATTCAATTCACATGAGTTCCAGCACATTAAGGTAATGAAAAAGTAGATAAGTTGGCTAAAGAAGCTGTTCAGGCAGGAGAACCAGAATATAAAGTCCCACTAAGTAGAGCAGAAATAAAAGTAATTCTAAAAGATAAAATAAATAACATGTGACAGGAATTCTGAATTCCATTTCCGTCCAGTTGGTGGCGGTAATGCACAAAGATTTAGATGCCAGAAAACGCTATAGAAGAAGAAGACGTCACTTCTAATCTACACCGTTTGGAGCGGCGAAGAAGAGGAAAAATGATAGTAGTGATGATGAAGTAAGTCCCCCCGGCTCCCCTCCACAGTCTAGCACGTGTTTTCCGGACCGGGACCCGGAGAGAGGCGGGATTCTCGGCCTGTTCTCGAAGCTTCTACCGGGTCAAAATGAACGCCGATGAGGCCAGGCTGAAGCTGCGGGAGCTGCTGGGCCAGGTGAATCCCTCTGAGCTCCCAAAGTTACTGGACTGGATCAAAAACTCAGGTGAACACCGGCACGCATGTCCCCTCCCTCTTCTCGCGATACTTCATTCCGGCCAGCCACAGGAATCATCTGTGACTAGTGACGAACACACACAACTCTCAGTTCAGTACTTTGTTCACAAAGTCTTTACAGAAATCCTACTTTTCCAGAGCTTCATGTATTTGATGGGTCTAGTCAAAGTCTAGATCTAATTTAAGTCAAAAAATCTGGGGCAAGATTTAAATTGACATTCATAGATGCTCTTCATCCAATCTAAAATATATAAAGATATACATTGTTTTCCCTTTGTTATTTTGTTTTTGTCTGTTAGATAAAATACATTATCGTTTGTTGTTATGTGACAGAAAGTGAAACAGTTTAATGAAAATGTTTTTAAGTAGCAGAAGTTCTGAGGACTTGGCATGTAAGGTTTAGATCAGGACAGTTTGCTGCTGAAACCATGGCGATGACAGCAGGTGTTGGTACAGCTGGCAGTGTGGAGCTCAGCTGTACCTGATTTCATTTTCCAAGTCCTGCTGGAAAATGAAATCAGGATCTAAAAGTGACACTCTGAGGCCACTGTCTGTTCTTAAAATGCTCTTTTTTCCAGCAAAATTTGGATTCATGTTCCTAGACATATGTTTTAATCGCTTATTTATTTATTGGCTTAATTTTATCTACTTTGTAGCCCTTTGAAATCTCAAGATATGAAGGGCATTTTTAATCAAATCTATTGTATTATTATTAAATACAATCTGCCACATTTTGGGAGCAGAAATCAGTGATGACTTGACAAATAAATTTGTAATTCAGTACATTTATGCCTTGTTTTTTAACTTTTTTTCTTTTTAAAGAAACATTTTAAGTCAGCTCAGCGTTGTCTTCTGTACTTCACCTTTGCTATCATTCTTAGGTAGAAAAAGCCACCTGACACTGTTAGCCAGGTTTCTGGTAGAGGCTCTGATGTTGTTTCCTAAAGAACCTAAATCTCAGTAATGTGTGAGTCCCTAATGTGTGTGTTTGTGTGTGTGTGCTTCTGTAGATGAGCTGGATCAGCTGCTGCTTGACAACAATAAGTTGATCCTGCAGAGCATTGCAGAGGACTTGAGAGCCAGACTGCCGGTCGATGCCATGCTGCCGACTGAGACTGCTGCACAACTCAAGGTTCCTCCACAGTTTCATCTCAAAACGTCTCATTACTGAGCTACACTTGTCTGTTTCTGATGTGGATAAACAACCATAATGATCCTGAAAGGGTGCAGTCTGCATTCAGACTTTGACATGACTGTGCTCGCATTCATCTGCACGGATTTAAATGGTGCATGCATGAATGAATGAGGCGTTTTCATTGGTCTGTCTGACCCTGTCTGGCTCAGGTTGTCATTGTGGTGTGATGTGATTACATGATGTCATGTTCTCCAGTAATCTGCACACAAATGTGGTGTGTGCAGATTACACCACATTTGGTGTAATCTGTCGAGAAGATAGTCTTAGCCTGGCAGTATCATTTAAAATCAACTTTTTTGAGCTTCACATTATATTGATCAAAAATGTACCTGCAGTGTTGCTTTGACTCTTTTATTCACTTCTTGAGAAATCCTTTAATCTCCATTGTAACTATTGAGCTGTGCAAAACACCTGGGTGGTCCTAGCCCAACCTTAGAGGTGCATCTCCTCCTCAGAACTGCAGTTTCTAAGCCAGGGGTGGGCAATCCTGGTCCTCAAGGGCCAGTGTCCTGCAACTTTCGGATTTCTCCCTGGTCCAACACAGCTGACTCACCTCCGAAGAACAGTCCAGTTCTCCAGAGTCCTGCTAATGACCTCATTATTTGACTCGGGTGTGTTGAAGAAGAGACACATCTAAAAGTTGCAGGAGACCGGCCCTCGAGGCCTGGAGTTGCCGACCCCTGTTCTAAGCCCTAGATCACAGGTAGATCACAGGTGTCAAACTCCAGTCCTCAAGGGCCGCTGTCCTGCAGTTTTTTGATGTGCCACAGGTACAAAACACTGGAATGAAATGGCTTAATTACCTCCTCCTTGTGTAGATCAGACCTCCAGAATCTTAATGATCTTATTATTCTATTCAGGTGGTGCATCAGTGGCACATCTAAAAGTTGCAGGACACTTAGTGGCCCTTGAGGACGGGAGTTTGACACCGCTGCCATCGAGCTTCTGTTTCACAGAGCAGCCTTCCCCCACGACTCCCCAGCTCAGCTCCTCAAGACTATCCAGCAGCAATTAGCAAGCAAACACCTGGTGGAAACACACATCAGCTGAGCTAATTACACTACTGATGTCGTTCTGTCTTGTAGATGCAGCAGCAGCAGCGGCCCACGGTTCATGTGGACAGCTTCCTGTACAGTGAGGACCAAGTGGACGCTCTGTGTGAGGAGGGGGCCATGAGCAGGAACTATTGTCTCAGCTGTGGATCGTTCAGGACCGCCCCCCTCGGTAGGAACATGACTCTGCCTCCACACACACGATGATGGTCCAAAGTGTTTTTCACTGATTATTTGTCTCAGATGAACTATTATGTCATGGTGACAGTTTTAAGAATTATGTGAAAAATTCACTTATAAAAGCTGCAGTTGTAATTTCGTTCTGATGCTATCTGAATGCTGTGCCTCTGATCCCTGTTAGATCCAAGTCTTTCAACAGATGGTCATCCCAACTCAAACCAAATGACTGATGGCCTGCCTGCTCATAGATCCTTATGGGTTAACGCAGCCATGTTTCCTTCCAGTAGACCAGAACCAAATCATTAAAAAATGACTTTAAATTATTGTTAATCAAAGCAAAAACCAAACATCCTCGCTTTCCATTCTTAAAGTCAGTTATTAAACTGAAACAGGAGGTAAAGATGAAGAGGTGGAAAAAGAGGCGCAGCTAGTTATTCCATCTAGCTGAAACAAGAAGTGAATTGATCCAACTGGGACGATTCATTTATCACAATGAATTGACATTATTCATTATGATAAATGATAACATTGCTGCTTTGGGACTATTTTCAAGAAACATGATGGTAATGTCATAATAATACAAGAACGTGTTCTCAAAGATTAATAAGCTTTAAATTCTCATAAACATTTGACAGTGGAACTGGAAGACATTTTAAATATCCAAAATAAAGAAATAAAATTAATCATGAAGTTTCTCTAAATGAAATTGTCCTTTTATAAAAGGAGCTAGTAGAGACCTCGGATAACATACCAATTGAAATAATTGAGTTTATCATAATTGATTTATTGGTTATTGTGACAGGCCCACACAGACTGAGTGTTATAAGTAGTGTACTTATGAACATGGATGTTTACTCCTGTTCTCTTCTTCTCCTGCAGATTTCATCTCACACTCGTTCTCAGTGTCTGACCTTCAGTTCCTGTTCCAGAACGTTCTGCCGGACCTCAGTGGTCGGACTGTGGTGGATGTTGGTTCCCGACTGGGAGCAGTTCTTTATGGGGTCAGTTTGTCTTGACCTTTGTGAAACCCTCACAGATCCAGAAACGTATCAATGCTAGTGATAGTTGTCATAGAAACCTTGTTTCGGATGGTGCAAGGTGAAGTATGATCAAAATGATCAGATATGATCAAAATGATCAGAACATGTTGCTCAGTCATGTAGTGGGACTTTGTGTTCTTCCCCTAAATTAATCAGCATGCCTCTTTAAGTGAATATTTGCTGTTTAAAGCTCTTAGTGGATGTTTTGATGAGTTCAGGGACATTTCTGTGTGTCAAGGTTTTGGATTTCAGGGGAGGAATTTCAATGTATGTCTGGAGTAAATTAGTAAGCATATCATGCAGGCTACTACTTTTACCTTGTTTTAGTCTAAAAAAAAACATCATAATGTCCAAAACAAGGTCAGGTGAGTTAAATCACGTTTAGTAGGTTTTGTGTGTAGATCAGTTTGTTTGTTTTCAGTGAATATCAGCAAATCAAGAAGTACATTTAAAACACATGGACCATTATTGACAGTACAACCGATTACCAAACTACAAGCAGATACAGGCATTGTGATAATAAGGACTGGAATAAAAGCACACAAGAAACGGACGCAAGCTTACTGCCTGCCAGTGTTCTTAACATAACATTCAACATTACTCAGATTCTCCTTCACTCTGACTGTTATCCATCCAACATCTTCCAACACACACTGATCAAACTGTTCATTATGCTTCATTTGTATATTTACTTTACAGCTTGCTTTAATCCATCATGGAGAATAAGCTTTTTGTGTTATTGTCTTTCTAAGTTTCTGTTTTGTAAAATTGGATACATTACAGAAATACAAATTATGTACAGAAATATGTACATAAATATATAACATAACATTAGCATTTTTCTAACAGAAGGGAACATAGTTACCTGATTGTGCTATAAAATAAGCACAATCAAGTACATAACACTGCCCCTTTAATGTTAAACCCTTTTCTTTCAAATCTTGAAATGTTTCAAATCTGTTTTAGAAACGTGCTATTGAAATCACACGGTTTCAATAGCACGTGTTGAAAGCCATGTTAATCATTGTTGAATCATATTGTGATGAACATATCATGTGTTCAGGGTTATGTGTACAGTTCAGCCTCTCGCCTCATTGGACTGGAGCTCAGTGAGGACTTTGTGAGGCTGCAGAACGACATGCTCCACAAATACGGTCTGTCTGATCGAGTTCAGGTTCGTGTCTCTGATCGTCCCTCATCCCTTCTCATACACACACTCTCACACACCTTTAATAAAAGCTCCCTCCCACACCTGCCCAGGTTCTCCATGCAAACGTCTGCACTCAGGAGGTTCTGCTGCAGGGCGTGGATGTTCTGATCATGAACAATGTTTTTGAGTACTTCTTGGAGCCCACCGAACAAATTGGGTAGTTCTTCTGAAACTGTGCAGGAAATATCCAGAAAACACCAACTGTGACCTGCATGCTCTAAAGGAATGTTTGCTCTCTGTGTGTTCAGAGCCTGGAAGTTCATCATGCAGGCCTTCAGGAGGAGAGGAGCCCTGCTGGTTACTGTTCCCAGTTTGCAAGAGAGTCTGGATGCCCTGCAGGTAGCTGGAAAACACCAGAACGTTGCATTTCTTTCAACACAGAAAAGAGAACTAGTTTAGTTTTGCACAGCCAGAAAAGCAGCCTGTAGGAATTGGAATATGTATCCCATGTTATTATGTATTGACTTCTGTTTATTGCAACCTATCTCCATCTACATATATCTTGGTTCACTTTCCTTCAGGTGCCACTACCACCAGGCTGGGTGGAGGAGCTTCCTGTAGACTACAACATCTACCTGGGCCGAGATGCAGACCCTGAGGAGCTCAGACAGATTCATCTGTACCGGGTCGTCTGATGCTGGCAGCTCCACCAGGATGAGGTCAGGTGACTGCGGACAGAAACTGCCTTACAGAGTCACGTGACTGCAAACGGAGCTGAACGTATGACTACAAACAGATCCAGCTGAACAAGGTCATGTGACTGGAGACAAAGTGCCCTGTAGTGGATCAAGTGACTGCAGAATGAAATCATCCAAGCACATTTCTCCACCTGTCAGGAGGTGGTGCAGCTCTGTGTCCCAGGTGGTTCCAGATCTTATTGGAAGTGGTTTGAAGAGGTGGGGAATTATGCTGGACTGCATCTGCTTTACCGAAAGTCTTCATTTGCACTCAGAGTTCAGACTTTCTGAAGTCCAAGATCAACTTAAGTCAGAATGTGAACATCACAAGTCAGAGGTTCTACCACGGGTCCAAATCTTGCAGAACCAGAGGCATAGAATAGATTATTGCACATTGGTGTTAATAATAAATCAAACTGTTAATTATGCTTCATTTGTATATTTACTTTACAGCTTGCTTGAATCCATCATGGAGAATAAGCTTTTTGTGTTGTTATCTTTCTAAGTTTCTGTTTTGTAAAATTGGATACATTACAAAATACAAAAGATAACAGAATTGTCTAGTGTTTGTTTACTTGATCTTATAGAAAGCGGTTGATTTTTGTCTCCCTAATTATATTTTTTGTGTTTTAAGTTGTGTATTATAACATGTTGCATGGTAATAAATCCTCTTTAAAAGTCTTATCCTGATGAATCTCACTGAAGATGTGCACAAATAGGAGACTTTAAAAAACAAACTCAACTAGACTTGATGTGAAGAAAACTTCAGAACATATCAGAAACCAGAAAATGTTATTATCACCCACATGATCTGTCATTAAATCCTTATAGTGAACTGTTATCATGGTGATTTCAGGACCAGAACTAAACAGACTTCTTTGTACTTTAAGTTTAAAGAGGGAGTATTATTTATTTTCCGAGCACATTGTCTTATTTTATAACACAATCAAGTACTGTTTCATAAATCGGATAATAATTCTTATAGAAAATTTCAAGTGTCAAAAATAACCTAAAAAAGTTTGACTTTGCAATTTACCGCATTTAAATTGGCTTCTGTGTCTTTAAGAAACTCTGGCTCCTTATGGAACTCCATCTTCAGGATGACATCACAACATTAAGGCGTTAACTGTTTTTACCAACTTTGCACTGAGAAGTAGTTATGATGAAGTTGGCAGATATGCAGTTCCACCAGGTGTTTGCTAATTGCTGCTGCCACTAGTCTGGAGGAGCTGAGCTGCAACTTAAAGAAGCTTTGTGAAAATAGGCAAAGTGTTGCCATGGGAAACGTAAGCATTCCTCAAACATGCATGAAGGAATCAGGTTTGTTTTCAAAGAGTGAATAACATTACAACATGGTATTAAGCAAAACAATATATATATATTTTTTTATATTATTATCTATTTATTCTTCATCCTCCCAGACCTGCCTGCTGTGTTTTCTAACTTTCTCATGCAAACTTCTGAATCCAGAAACAGAACAGCTGTGTTTACACCCAGCTGGATTTTATTCATACACAGGTGATTAACTCTGGCTTTTTATTAGTGGCATAAAACTAAAGGGGGTTCAATACACACCACAGTTTTCTGTGTTTTTTAGACTTGATTTATTTTCCTTCCAAGTAATATTTTTTCTCCATCAAATGAAGTCCTAATAAAATGTATTTAGGTTGTGATAAGATAAAAATTGAAAGAGTTCAAAGGGTACGAATACTATTTCAAGGCATTTTGTGTCAGTGTGGTGTTTATCTATCATTGCTTCTATTGTAGAAAGTCAGAATGTTTCCTACAGACAGAGAGAGAGGAAAGGAGATGAACCATTGAACAAAGTCGAATCACCTTTGCAAATTTTTTATTGTCATTTAAAATTTGAATAGATCTGACCTCAGATGATATGTCAGCTGCATCAGGCAAGCTTGGCTTTTGTGCAGCTTCTTGATGCATGCCACAGAATGGCTGTACCTTAAAACTAAACGTAAAGAGTAGGATCAACCATCCAGCATTAATGGAGCACTGTGTCATAACCTTCAAATGAGAGAACAGTTGAAAGGTTGGAACATTTCATTTTGAAGCAGAAACAGAAAACTACCCAGATCTTGATCCCACTCAGAACTTGTGTGTCTCAAAAAGCAGCTGGAGAAACATAAGACAACAGGTTACCATGGGGATTTGGGCATCTGACAATATCCAGCATTCATTTTCCTCTGTTTATCTGAGATTGGGTTGAAGAGGTCCAGGAAAAAAAATACAGACATCCAGGGAGTTCTGGGTCTTCATCTGGTGTCTCTTCACTGCTGAAATTTGTATCACCTTTTACCAACTGCTTAGAAAATTCCAGAAACCAAATATCACCAGTGACATTTACAATTTATTCATTTTTGTCAGTTTGAATTTTTCTTCAGGCTTCCTGTGAGTTTGCTTGATGATAACACCAAAAAGAATAGGCATTCATCAGAGAAATCCTCAATGCTCGATGCATCTCAATTTCAAGATGTTTGCTTTGATTCTGATTTTATGCTGAGTAATGATCAGCACAGGCCCACCTTTCTGTGATTGACTAGAGCCCCCTGCTGACCGGAAGTTATCTCTGGCATCCCCAAAAGAACTTGCACTGTGTTCCGAGTTATTATGCAAATTGGATTTAAGTGTCATAAAGGTAAAAAAAAAATTGTGTTATTAAATTTATAGATGGTATTGTGTGTCAAGGCTCTTTGAATCACTATAATTAATTTCAGAGAGCTGGGTTGATTAGTCTGATGAACTCAATTAAAGGAAACCTACTTAAGAAGGATGTTCCACATTATTAAGCAGGCCACAGGCTCTGCTGACGAAACTCATCAGATAGTGTAGAGCCGTATGACATTTTTTTCTAAAATGGCTTCTCATTCTGAAAACACCTGAAGAAAGTTATCAAATGTCACTTTTACCAACTTCAAATTATCTGAACAAACTAAGAAAAAATCCAGAAGGCCAAAAATATTTGAATTGCCAATAAAACAGCTTAAAAAGAAGGAAATTATGGCGGTACTTTATCTGTCTTATTTTATCCTGTTTAAGCTCAACTTGGTAGTTACTTTGAGGATTGTTTTATATTATTACTATTTAAAATCTTTACCTGACGTACTATTTGTTTGATACTGTAAATAATGCAATGGGACCAAAAAATTATGTTCCATTTTGCATTTAAAGAAAGCTTACAGGAAAACTGCAAAACAAATAGCTTTAAATGGAAAATAAAAATTTTTTCCAACCATAGATAAATAAAGGTCAGTGGTGGGTGATGGGCTAAATGGAAGAGTGCCCCAAAATTTCATTCTGCTTATGGCTTCATTTTACTTTGAGTAGGCCCTGTCGATCGTTGCTATCTTCGGCGGAATTCAGTTTCTTTATTTCTTTTCCTCCATCTCTCAGTTACTTCGTCGAGATGACTGAATTTGAACCTAACTAAAGAAGATAACCTGTCAATAAAAGTGTGCAAATATTTTTTGGGTGTGTACATTTTTAACAAAGGTGTTTTAATATGTTTAAAAGATCCTCCGAACACTTTATTCTTAAAAAATGCACCCTTCACGGTCACTGTCATATTCCAGTTCTCACACTCAAGAAACAAACGCAGGCGAAGTAATGAAATTTCCCAGCTGACCGTGAAGTGGATGAAAACTTCGTCAACAAGCCGCCAGTCAGACGGCTTAGCCCGGAGTTCTTCCTCCTCATTTCGGACCGCCTGTTATCGCTTCATCGTTTCACAACTTGGTAAAGACCGGCCGTTTCTATCGGTTTCTTTGTCTGATTTAGCGTACCGAGTGTCGGGGGACTGAAGTTGCAAGCTTTGAGCTGAATTGGCTCTGAGTTTAGCGTGTCGGCTGGGAGATAATGAAGAGGAGCACTTCCATGCGGGCTGGATTATCGGCGCGTGTAACAAAAGACCCGCTCACCACCTCCTCCTCACTCCTGCTACTCCGTCGAGCTCCTGCCACATTCTAACCGGGGCTCTGCTTCGGCTCCGGGCTTTTAGTTGAGGCGTTTGACTTGAGTTTTCGTGTTTTATTCGGTGAAGACGAGTGACCCGGTTTCGCTCCCCTTTCTTTCAGAGTGGAAGCGGAGCGAAGAGATGCCGCTACTCCACAGAAAGCCCTTTACCCGACAGAAACCTCCGGCTGATCTTCGACCGGACGAAGAAGTGTTTCTCTGTAAAATCACGCATGAAATATTCAGGACCTATGAGTAAGTAGCTGCTTTAACTCTAAAAAAAACCGCTTAAAGTAAGTTTGAGATGTTCTATCATTGAGAAAAACTTCCACACAAAACATAAAAGCTAACTTTATTGTAAATTAAAATAAAATGATATATGTAGGTTAGTTTTTTACCGAGGTGCGAGATCTCCAAGGACAGTAGGAAGCGGGTTAAAGCGGGTAGTAAAAGGTCAGTAGGAGCGGGACAGGTGTACGGTTGGCTAGCTAAAGTGACTGTTAGCTTGGGAGCTACCAGAGCTTAGCTTTGAGAGTTTAGCCCATATAAACAGTCCACTCATTCACATCTTCTCGGAGGTTTTTTAAACAAACAAAAACCTATAAATACGAAATATTTGACTCATGTGGTGACCCGTTAACTTCTGAAGTCAGAAGTTGGATGTAGGAATGACACAAAACTTAATTTAGTCATGAAATTCGGGAACTAGTAGGATTTCCTAATAATTGTGATCAGGCTAACCACTACTGTCATTAAACATAATCACATCGTTTAATATATTTTGTTCTTTCAGACATTGTCGCTCATTTCCATTCGATTAGGCTTTATGGTACAGTTTGTGGAAACGATTTAATGAGAATCAACTTTGTTAAAAGTGCAAATAAACAGTTTTTAACTGTTACTGTCACAAGGCAGCCATATTGGATGTTGGGTAAAATCCTTGTGAGAAACCTATGACTTTCCTACTGACAGGTTTGATTCTCAGGGATCTTTCTGTTAATTTCTCCAGTTACAATTTTAAAAGCTTCAATATCTGAATTAAAATCCAGTGCATAATCAGTTTGCATCATTAAGTAAACATTCTGGGGATATATATATATTTTTATTTCTGTTTTGCTCTTACATGACATAAGGAACTAAAACTTGTGTGGTAATACTGTCTAAAATTCCTGAAAAAAATGGTGGTTGGGAAAGTCAATTATTCACTGAAGTGCCACAGATTATAACACATTTGAGAACTACTGTTTCATATAATTCCCCCCAAAAAAAAAATAAATAAATAAAAATATATATATATATTTTTTGGGGGGGAATTATATGAAACAGTAGTTCTCAAATGTGCATATATATATATATATATATATATATATATATATATATATATATATATATATATATATATATATATATATATATATGTATGTGTGTGTGTGTGTGTGTATGTGTGTGTCGTATTACACAATTATGAGTCATATTCATCTTCAAAATGTGCATTGTGAAATTGACATGTTAAATGTATGGTTATTGACAGCTTCCGTAAATATCAAGTGACAAAAATATACATGAGACTAAAATAAAGGGCAGCTTAACAAGTGGGCCAATGGTTAATTTCTGCTCTAGTTTTTGATTGTTTCTTGGAATAAGTATAAAGATTACCTACAGAAATGCTCGAATTTGATCCTTATTTATATTTTTTTAAGCCATTCAGCATCCAAATA